GAATTGAATAAGCAATTAAAGTTATAAAAAATATTAATAAATGTATTAAATACAAACACTATAATACAGATCATGTTACATTACAATATAAAAAATAAAATTAATTTTTTTGTAATTTAATTTCCAGTCATACTCCATCAAACATATAGCTGCAAAATGATAAGAAAGATTAGTTTTATAACTAAAATTAAAAATTTAGCTCCTCCAAATGGTAAAATTTTATAAATTAGTAGTATAGATACATTTAAATGACATATAATTTATAAACTTAGACTATACGCATAATAAGATGAATTAAAAAAATTAATGAATTAAATAAATAAATTATTATTATAGCACAGTCTATATAATTATTATAGCAAAGTCTATATTGTCAATATTATCATTTAAAAAGTTTATTGAAAAACATATGTATAAAAAAGATCCATATGATCATAATTAATAGTGCAAAATTAACTATCTTTGACTTTCCATTTGGTAGTAATAATAAAATATTTTATATTACTACTATTAAATAAAATGCATGATTTCTGCAGATTTGATTATCACAATCATGCAACATTCTGTTTTATAAATTAAAAAGTGTGCTGAATAAATTGTCTCATATTTTTCATTAAAAAAAACTGTTGGCCGTGAAAAAAAATATTATTTCACAATTATACATATAAATATGATTAATTTTCATTAAAAAATTCCTCTTTAAGAAAAAAGTGGCGGGATAAATTTTTGCATGATTATAGCATCAAAACATATCCAAAACATTAATATTTTAATGCATTAAAAACCATACGTTCAGCAACAGAAAAGTCATATCAAACGGAAATTGGCAAAGTCAAAGGATGAGGATTGACAAGGCATTGTATGTAATGGCAGATTGTTTCATAATATAGAAATATCAAGCATAATTAATAATCAACAAAAAAAAGTCAAATATATATGAAAAAATAAAAATTAAAAACACATCAAATTATGTGGAACATTATTGGACACTATACAATATAGAAAAAAAAATAAAATTTGATTTTCCTATCATTATCAACACATTCAACTTTTACCAAGACATCTGTCTTTATATTAAAATTGATTTTTTGCGTAAAAATTTTAAAAATAAAAATTCCTACAGATTCTTTTAAACATTAAACAAGAAATTCCTAATATGCGATAAATATATCTAAACAGATTTGTTATAAACTTACCTAATATTTCCAAATTTTGAACAAAATACTAAAAACTTTGAAAAACTTCGGCAAAAGACTTTGAACAACTTCGAAAATCGATTTTGAACAAGTGTTAGCAAAACTTCACTTACTGATATGATGAGAAAGACGAGAAAGAATTGAACTATTTAGTGTTCAAAATCTGAACAAAATACATAAAAGTTACATATGTATGTTATGAACAGATATGTTATAAACTTACCTATATATTTGTTAGTAGAGCTGAACAGATTTGTTAGAAACTTACCTATTTTTTCAAACCCTGAACAAAATACATAAAATTTTGAAAAAATTCAACCAATGTCATGTTTTCTTTGAAAAACGATTTTGAAAAACATCTAAATAATTTCGAATTATGTATAAAATATGATATATCTTTAAAGCTTATTCACAAAGAATTTCGAAAAACGACACAGATCATTGAAAATAATAAAAAATAAAAACTACGTTTAACAAAAAATATTTCAACTCTTCATAGATTTGTAATATTATCGCCCGATGTTGACCGACCTGTTAAGATTTAGCAACACAGATTAAGAAATCGGGACGAATATTTATTTTTCAATCACTACTGTTGGCCACAAAAACAACATTTCTCGGATGTTTTTTTTTTTTAATTTTTTAAGCCTTTACCGGGAGAAAATCTCCGGTAAAACATTTGTATTATATTGAATCTCGCCGAGTTTGTCGTAAGATCGGGTTAAGGATTAGGGTTTCAGACAGAGTGAATAACGAGAGAAGCGTCGACATCAAACAAAAAAAATTGGCTTACATCACTCTCAAGGAGTTTATCTCTATTTATAGTCATGTTAGCATTGACCTGTTTTATATTTGATTTTGGCTACCCTAAGAAATTAAGTGGACTTCTAATTTGGGCTTTTTTTTATCATTCAATCAATATATTTCTTTATGGCCCAAAAATTGCCATTTTGTTCAAATGTCTTAAATATTTGGCATATATCATTATTTATCAACCAAATACAATTATTTATTTTGTAATATTTTGCTGGTATTTTTTTAGTTTTTTTTTTTTAAATTTCCTATATGATCTATAGTACAAAATACAATAATTATTTAAAAAAATAAAACCATTATATGTCTTATTTTGAAGATAGTGATTTGTAGTGATGGAAATTCTGTTGATAGAAAAACCACAAACGTTGTATATAAAGAATTGTTTAACAATATTTAGTTATTCTTTCTTAGAACATTTTTCCAATGATTATATTATGATTTTACTATTGTTTATATCTTTTTATTATTTTTTGTTCTATTATACCGTTTTCCGTGCAAATGCACGGGTTAAAAACTAGTAAATTGTTAAATATGGAATTTTATAAACAATATTATGATGATTTGACTGACCCAAAGATTGTTATGTGAACTTCAGTGAGTAATCTTACAATGTGTATATTTATTCATCTTTTTTTTTTTTTCTCTAAAATGGTAATTGTAACGTTGCTTAATGTGAAGTTTGACGAGACAAACAAGGGTCCCAATTAACATCACTTATCACCTCACCTGGGATAAATAGTTGTTGTCCTCCATACTTACTGATTTTGTGTTCTCCTAAATAAAAATATTGACGTCAAAGACATCGTCTGTGCTTCCCTTTATGTGATAGGATACCATTGTTTATTTTCTCTTGATTGTTGTTGAAATTATTTAATGCACGTGATTTCTTTTCATTTATTTTTGGCAACTTTTGGAATATTTGCAACCATGTCAATATGGATTCACACCTTTATGTACATAAATTCCATCAACTGAATCTAAAGTTGCCTATTATTTACCCTACAAATTTGAAATGTTACGAACCGAATACCACCTTTCACAAAAATGGAATTAAATGATTGGAATTTCTATATTTTTTTTTAAAAAAAAAAGTTGCAGGTAAAGTCTGTGTGTAACTTTAATCTTGTCGTAACAAAAATAGATAAATAAATGTTGAAAATTCATGCTTAGATAATATCCCAGCAAAACTTACAGTTGTACATGTCTTTTCGGCCGTTTTTTCGACCGTCTAGAAATTGAATTCTCATCATTAAAGTTCGTAATTTACCTTAAATCATGGACTTATGATTAATTGTGCTAATTATACATCTTAATCATGTAGAGTAGAAACCATAGAATTCTTAATCAAAGTAATTTCACATCTTAAGTCAACTTATGCTTAGTGTTGATGAGGCGGTTGTCATGCAGACTTCACTATATACCAACCATTACCTATACTTATTCAATTAATATGCATGCTATCAAATTTAAATATCATATGTTAAAATACAAAATAAAACAAAAGTATAATATTCTTTAACATAAATATGTATTATTATTGAAAAAATATAATAGGTCGACGCAAATAACGATAGCCTCTCACACGAGAATACACAAATACAAATGTAGAATTAGTTCTTACTTCTTAGTACTTCATAAATTGTGAATATTTTCCACTAATGCATTAATTAATTTGTAATTTTTTAATAGCTACAATAAGTCATATACATGAGGATTTATTTTTCAGCGCCGACCAGTTTTGCCACCTCGAACACGTACCGTTTTTTTCTTTTCCAATAGTTAAATCTAAATTAATTAACCGAATGGTAACTTAATATATAGAAATTAATAGCAGAAATAGCATGTGATTCTGACTGACAAAACTTTTTTTTTCTTTTTTTCCAAAATAACATGACAAAATTCACTGTGGGAAAATTTGTTTTCCATTAAGCACGTGTGGGGTCTAAAGTAGATATATCAATATTATTATTGTTTTTTCTATTTTTTTACTCTGTCAATATTAATTCTTGGGTTCAACTTCACCCCTTTCCATTCGTCTACCTAATTTATTACTTTTTATGTCACGTGACTATGTCACGTCCCTCCTTTCGTACAAACAGAAGTGGCGACTATCTCCAGTCCTTATCTCTATTATAGCGCGTACTTTACTCTACTTTAGAATAGAGTGAAACAAATACTAAGTTTCGTCTCCAGTCCTTATCTCTACATTTTACTCTACATCAAATATATTATTTTTTTATTTATTTTTATTTTAAATAAATTATTATACATATGTGTATTTAATCTTATATAAATGTTTATTACCTAAATAATAAAAATGTATTTTATGTTGTTTTTATTTGTGTATTTTGTGATTTATGTGTGTTTGAAAATTTTTGATTTTAATGAAATCTACTTGTATTATTGTGTTAAATTTTTATTCATAGTACCATTTTAATATTAAAAAATTATAAAATAAAGTTATAATACATAAAAAAAAACACATAATTATTTAGCATAAAAAATACATACACAAAGCTATTTAGCATAAAAAATATACTTACTAATACACATTATATAAAATTTATCATTATTATTACACTACATTACATAAGAAAAAAAAAAAATTGTAGAGATGATAACACTGTTGCTATCTCCAAAAAAATAACATGCAAGCCGGACTCTTGGCAGTCAATGTCGCCGGAAAATTAGCTCATGAGAATGTAAAATAACTTCAATAGGCATTAATATGCCATTTCGAGTAGAAAAACAACATTTAATTTACTAATAAAAACTTACCAAATTTCTCACTGAGACACGACCAAAATTGGGCGAAAAACAGCTAACTAGTCTCAACACTTCAAGAAAACGAAATAGAATAACATAAAGGAATAGCTAAACTAAATACCACTCACAAAACTGCCGAAAACTCAGCAAAATTATTGCTGATTTTCAAGATTACATTATTAATAACTCCTAATAACACACACACTCTCTCTCTCTGAGAAGTCAAAAGGCAGCAAGAGGGTCCGACCCGAATATATCACCAATGTCTTGAAAGCAATCATCTGTCTGCCAGGTGGACGCTGCGAACCCGAAATCCGCGCCCGACCCGATAAACACATCATCCGTGCAGCAGAAATCCGGCACGAAATTGCCGCTCGAAAAACCGTCCTGGTCAAACAAACCGGGCCCGGCCACCGGATTTTCCCACTCGGCAAACAAATCGTCACTCGGCCGGAAAATCGAGAAATCCGGGAAGCCCTCGCCGTTCGCCTCCTTCTCCAAGACGACGCCGTCCTGCTGCGAGAACACGGAGCACGACTCGGCTTCGGTTTCAGCCTCGGTGTGGGAGTCCGCCGGAGACACTAACCGGAGGACGGACTTGGGCGACTGGGTGGCGGCGTTGATGTTGTTGAGCGAGTCCTCGCCGGAGTTGTACACCTCCGCCGTCGCGGTCGGGGCGGAGAAGTTGGTCAGCGCGTCGGGACCACGCAGCTGGATGGCCGCGTGGTCGTACACCATGGCTGCCTCCTCCGCCGTGTCGTAGGTGCCCAGCCACAGCCGCACGCGCCGCGCCGGGTCCCGAATCTCCGCCGCCCACTTCCCCCACGGCCTCTGCCTCACGCCGCGGAACTTCTTCGGACTCCCTGCCGTCTTCGCCTTCGCCTCCGCCTCCTTCCGCTCTACTTTTCCGGTGCCTTTCATCCGCCTCGCCCCGCCGGGCGCCGGCAAACTCCTCCCGGAGACGCCATTCGCATTTCCGTTGACATTCCCGTTATCCTCGCTGCAGGGCAAGATTCTGACCTCGCTGACGAACCTCCTGACCCGCCGGCGCTTGACGGAGAACCCATCATCTTCGTCGCCGGAAGAGTCGGTGGCGTCGGGGTCGGTGACAGAGAACCTCACCGTCCTGGGCCCTGCCGTCTCGGCTTGAAAACGGGTCTTCCGACCCGGAAAAGGATATCCCGACCGGGCGACGACCGTGGTTCGGGTGACGTGTTCGCTGTATTCGATTCTCTCACCAAACGACATCGTTTTCTCGTCCTGCTCAGACAGCATCGTGTAGCACATATATTTTTTTTTTCGCGTTTTTTCAAACTTCTATTTCATTTTTCCCCACACAGATTCGCGGTGAAAGCGAAAGGGATTAAGAGCGTGAAGGGTGAGAGATTCTCTGAGAATAAAGAGAAAGTCAAAAGATATGGAGTGCTTGAGACACAGTAAAAAGGTTGCAATAAAGAAAACAAATAACTCGAAATTTACAGAGAAAGACTACATTTAAAAAATAACTAGCGCTCACGAAGAAAAGGAGAGATTGAGCAATGCTTTTTTACTCTGAGGATGGAAAATTGCAGAGTCGGTGTGCGAAAAGACAGAGAAAAAGGACCTAAAAGGGAAATTAAGTAAAGCAGAAGGGTATCAAATAAATATTGAAAGTAAAATAGTTGTTTCTTTTATGTGGGTGTGCTAGGCTAATTTGGGTAACTAAGCCCAGATGGAACGCGTTTCTGATTTTATCTAGTCTAGGGAGAATGAAGAGTCGAGAGTAAGACTAGTAATGTTCGGTTTTAGAGAGAGAAAGCTTAGAGAGAGAGTTGGGATTTGGGAATGTGTGGTGTTGTTCAATTGGTTGGGAGACCGAATGATACGAGCCGGAGCCACTATTTTATAGGATGCGATATACTGCTCTAATTCCATTAAATGTGGGCTTATAAGGCGAACAAATAAGGGGAGTTTTTTTTTTTTTTTCTTTAACAAAATTGACCTTTTCTTGGTATAATTGCGTTTAATTAAGATCCGAAGGCGGATTATTAGATAGAGTTGAGCGAGATATTTACTCGAACGGGCTGCCGCATCTGATGGAGACTGGGATACCGACCCGTGTACAGCAGGCCCTCTATGGTAGATTTTTCCTTTTACTTGTATTTAATTTCACGTAAGATTCTCAAAATCAAATCAATTATCAAACGGCTAGAGTTTCAAATCTAATAGTATTTATTAATATTTTAAATTTTAAGTAGTACATTGAATAATAAATTTTATTTATTAAATTTAGTTAATTCATAAATAAAAAATTTATATAAAAAAACTGCAGAATATAAGTGATGCTAAGATGAAAAATGCAATATTAAAAATTAAAATAAGTGAGCAATATATTTCTTTTTAAAAAAATCTACATCAAAACAAATAGTATATCTTTTATATTAATGAGAAATGCTATTTATGTACATAATATTGCTACACGCCCCGTGGAATTTCCACCGCATTGACACTCCCTGTGTCTTGTGATGTGTCAGTATGTCATAAAATTTTTATACAATTGTTAGTTGTTTTTGTATTTTTATTAATCTTTTTAATTTTTCTTCAGTTTTTATCATCATGTTATAATAAAATTCTAAACTTGTAATTTCATGTAAATAAGTATATCTTATTATATCTGTTTTTATATTTTGTATTTCCCATCCTATATCAAAATATATTTTTCTTGTACTCATTTTATTTTTAAATCGTTGACTTGCTTTGGTACCAGTTTGCAATTTGTAATTAAACTGATATTCCATTTTGTACTTATATTAATATATAAATTTGTTTTTGCCTCATTTATGCTTTATAAAATCATTTTACAAGTTAAAACAGTCTTCAAAAGAAATAATTGTGTCTTCTTCTTCTAATGCTTTTATTCTATTTTCTATTTTTTTCTAGTTTTTCAAGAATAAACTGATTAATATCAGGTTCTTCCTTATGTTTTTCCATGTATTTTTTGATATCTTTATTTTTGTTGGCGGATCTATTTGAATTGGTTTAAATAATTTTTTCATGTTTTTTTTTTGTACTAAATCTTGTAAATTTTTTATTGATCTTTTTATTGCGTCTAATTTTTCTATTGTGGTTCACTCATAAATTTTCTAAAATATTTATGTTATTATCTTTATTTTTTCTTTATTAATTATTAACACTTCTTTTGCACTGACATGGACTTAATATCAGGGAGTAGGCGAGGGAGTGAGTAAATGGCGGGGGAAGTGAAGAAGAAAAAAAAAAAGAATGAGGGACTGATAAGGAAGTTGTAAAAGTGATTAGGGATTTATTATGAATTAACCGTTTTTCTTTTCAGAACATTTTTTATTGATTTACTAATTTTTTTATCCAATATTCTTGTACTAAGTTTTTATAATATAAGTACATCACAGTCACTATAGTTTTTTGACTTTTTTCCCAAAGAAGATCCTCTGCTGCTGCTGGAACCAAGTGTTTAGCCATTGTTTGAAAATTTTTAATCAATCTTACAATTATAGTTAACAATTATATACAATGTACATGTCAGATTTGATTGTCATCATTTATTTACCAGTTACATAATCCAAATCTTGTGGTGCTTTACTGCAAATTTTTTTCATCCCTATTCTCAAGCATGACAAGAAAACAAAACCTCAAAAATAAAAGGGTGTCCACTTTCATGAAGACTTTAAGGTTTCACATTGTTTTCCTGTTATATTTCACAAGATATAAAAAAAAAAAAATGCGATTGTAGGTAAATTTTCTTGGAAAAAATTATTTGACTTGAAAAAATGAGTTGAAATTTTTGAGTTGAAAAATAAAAATATTTTTTACATTGTGAATAACACTAATAATAGAAAATATAATAATAATAATAATAATAATAATAATAATAATAATTACAATATAAATTGTTGATTGTTTAAAATGTGTGAATAGATAAATATTGAATTATATTGAAAAATGTGCATTAAAGATTGATTATTATTTTTTTCTTGTGTTGATAAGATTGTGGAATAAATAAGAATAAAGGAATTGTGAATTTTGTGAAGAAAACTATATTCAATGGAACAAAACTGGAAATAAAATGTAGATAAAACTATATTTTGTGAAGAAAACTATAATCAATCATAGCACTACACACAATTAAAAATAGTGGTTCTCACGATTCTTACGCTAGAACTTGGTTCTCATTTGAACCACATCCTATATATAGGTATATATATCTATACTTATATAATAAGAATTAACATTTATCCAAACTAGTAGGTCAACTTATGGTCAATGTCGGATTTGCATTAAATATTTTCCAAAACCGGTAAGTTTTTGTCCTTTTTCACACTTCTAATTAATTATGTCATTTTCACACTTCTCATTAATTATGTCCTTTTCACACATCTAATTAAATCATTCCATATGAGCTTTTATCGTTAAAACGTATAGCGATCTGTTATGACCTTATCCTATTGATATTTCCATGAAGCGTCCTTATCGCGTTCTATTTTTTGGTAATCACTCTATATCAATAACCAGATATTTGGTTAATGATAGCACACGTCTTTATTTAAGGAGCGAATATTCTTTGACCTTTAATTAATCTGAATTGATTGACTTGACTTTTCAATTTTTAAAAACTCTTTTTTTAAAAACTTTTTTTTTTTATCGCACGTTAGTCTTTTCCTGAATAAACCCGTTTTTAGTCACGGCCAATTATATGTTGCTGCTTGGCGTGTAAATAATAGAAGGGGGTTGAAAATATTAGTTTGTAATAATGAGGAGTTACCAAATAATCAAACTCATAATATTGTGTACAAGGAGGTTTTTAATAATTTATGATTGTTACCGAACTTTTATGATTCAACAATGTTCCTATGTATTTTAATGATTTCAATTTCAATCCTAATGCACGTGAGATTATATTATTCTTCCACATTTTACATCTCGTGTATCGCACGAGTTACGTACTAGTATATATATATATATATAATATAGATATGATGAAATGTATACTGAACTACAATGAAATGTTTCCAAACATACAAATGTTCAATGAAGTTGTATAGTACTTGTACCAAAAATGTTTATACAAATTTCTTTGGTTGATAGCGTTTCAACAAGATTACAATGTTTAATAACTATTGTAAATAATATCATCATGTACAAAGTTCTTGCTAATACTGCTTCATCGGTCTCGTAGTATTTTTTCCATGTTCGTTTTACATCAAATCGAATTAAATTACATTGACCAATTCCATCTACCAATTGGTCGTTTTTTTTTTCACTCCAAGTAAACGTGGCAGGCAGCCTTGGATTTGATGCTATTTATATTTTATGTAACGACACTTTTTCTGTGACTTCGTTGTTGTTTCCCAAATTTCTTATGGTAATTTTTAGCGGAAATTTCTAGTTAAATCCCCCTTCTTTTTTCAACTTCATATTCAGTCTTCCTTTTAATTTTTTCCCTTTGCACTCCCTATCCCTAATTTTGTCTTTCTATTTCACTCCCCATATATATATATTAATATTATTATTTTTCATTTATTTTGCACTAAAATTGTCAATTCTCTCTCTCATTTTTTTCAGCTCTCTCTCTATTCCCGTCTCTCTCTCTCTGTCTGTGTGAAATCGCCTCTCTCAATTCATGTCTCTTGTAAAATCGCTGTGCCTTCCTTTCTCTCTTTTTTTCGGTCGACGTTCGTCTCCCTCTCTCTCTTTTTTCCCGTCGCCTCCGTCTCTCTCTCTGTCTCAATGGCCGTTCGTCTCTCTCCGGCAGGAAGCAATGGCCGCTCGAAAAAGAAATCTCCATCCGACGGGCACAAACCGTCCTCCTCCTCGACACCCACCAGGGCAAGGGTAATTTCTGATTTTTGAGGTTTTTTTTCCTAATTTTAGGGTTTTTTTCAATTTAGGGTTTTGTTCCCAATTTTCATTTTTGTCTTGAATTCAAAATTTTAGGGCTTTCAATTCTGTTGAAGGGTAAATTGAGGGGTTTGCTCAACTCTGAATTTCGAGACATCAAAATGGTATGAGCTTGATGTCGACGGGCGTCTTTGTTCTTTTTCAGCTATATATTGAGTTTTGAATGTATTCTATTGCTTCAAGAATGTCCAATGCTGTTGGCTTCATGCAATTGGTGTAATCAAATGGTGGTTTAGTTTCAATGGGTTTAATATCTTGGGTAAATTCTAATTGATTATTGTCATTATCTTCAAGTACAGTGGATTATTATCATGGTGGAGGCTGTCTTCAATGGACAGGAAAGTTTAACAGGGCTTTTGACTAATATGTTAGTT